CTCCAGTACTACCGGGATAAGTTCCACTGGCGGAAAAGCGTAGAGGAGAATGTTGGGTCAAGGGTGCGCCAGAGCATCTGATCCCATTGGTGTGTGTTTGCGCTTGACGCAAACAGATCCACTACTGCCCTGCCTAACCTCAGCCAAATCTGGGATACCACTTCGGGGTGGAACGTCTATTCCTTTGACAGAGGTCCGCCCCTGGAGAGCAAGTCCACACTGTGGTTGAGGTACCCGGGGACATAAGCTGCTCTGAGAGACAGGAGATTCAGATAGCACCAGTGCAGCAATGTGTGGGTCAAATTCAGTAGAGGAAGGGAGTGTGTTCCTCCCTGTCTGTTTACATATGACACCACAGTTGTGTAGTCTGTGCGCACCAGTACATGTTGTCCTCTCAGGTGGTGACTGAAGTGTTTCAGGGCCAGAAACACGGTTAACAGTTCCAGAAAGTTGATATGGAACCTTGACTGGGTCGAGGACCATACCCCCCTCACCGCTAAACCTCACCGCTAAACCCCCACACAGAGCCCCTCCCAGCTTCTGAGGGAATCCTGGTAGAACAGCCCTGGTTCTCTCCATGGGAGGAGAGCTACCATGCAGGCTCTGGTGACCGTCAACCTCTGGCGGAGATGACGTGAAGGATGGAGATGGTGAGAGCGGACCCAATACTGGAAATGTCGCATTTTTAACAGTCCGAGAGGCATCACGGCTATGGAGGAAGCCATCATCCCCAGCAGCTGTAGAGCTGTGTGGAGTGTCAGTCTGGCTCCCAGCTGAAAGCGCGCTAAACAACTGCGTAGCGTGGCTATTCGCTGGTCCGAAAGATGCGCTCTGCTTGACCAAGAGCAAATTTCCAGCCCGAGGAAGGAGAAACTCTGACTCGGAACTAGAGAATTCTTTCTGTAGTTCACGGAAAACCCCAGGTGTTGAACGTGGGAAAGTACCCATACAGTGTGAGCTTCTGCCTGTGTTCAGGAACTCGCTACTAGAGCCTAGTTGTCTAGGTAATCGAGGATTCGGATGCCCTCCTCCCTGAGGGGGGCTAGTGTGGCTTCCACACATTTTGAAAAGGTGCGGGGAGCTAGAGCTAACCCAAAAGGCAGAACCATGTACTCGTAGGCCTTCCCTTCGTAGCCAAAGCGCAGGAACCGCCTGTGATCAGGATGGATTCCCACATGGAAATTAGCATCTGTGAGATTGATCGTAGTAAACCAATCTTCGGAACTGACTGTATCCAGTAGCTGTTTAAGTGTTAGCATTTTGAACCTGTACGTGCGCAGATACTTGTTTAACACACGCAGATCCAAAATAGGGCGAAGTCCCGTCCTCGAGTAAGTCTTGACCGTCGGGGCAAATGTCCAAAATGTCTCCTTCATCCTCTGCCAGAGGAGGAAACTGAGAAGCCTCTAGGTCTGGTCCGGTTAAATTGTCCGCCATCTCCATCTGATCTGCCCAGCTAGTAGCAGGAACTTCGATCACTAGGCTGTCCACGTCAGAGCCGGGCAAAGCCGGGGCTGAACGGGAAAGCATGGGGTCCTGCTGCGAAACTGCAGTGTCTCCCAGGAGACGTTGTAGGAGTTTCACACAAGGTTCGAGCACGGGACAGCGGAGTCGGTGACAGAACTCCCATGCCTCCGGGTCCACAAGCACTCTCCTGGCGTGGAGAATTCCCAGTCAAACCGGGCAAGCTTCGAGTGGGTCCTTCTCGTGAAGAGAGAATCCACAGGCCAGAGGACAGGGGCGCGAAGGGGCTTTTGTGAAGCGACGTCCGACACGGTGCTCATTGCGAGACACACAGCGGAGCAAAAGCAGAGAAGCTGAAGAGCCAAAAAAAATTGCGCTTGGTGGGCGGGAATGCCAGCCAGAAGGCAGTAGAGTCCAGTCAGCGAGCAGTTAAGCTATCTTTCAATATCGCAGCAAGTTGTCAGATGAGTTCTCAGCGAGGTGAAGAGCGTAAGAACTGAGTAATGACAGTGACGCGGGTGCTTATAAGTGGAGGGCAGGGCCTCCTTGCAGCATCACTTTCATTTGCCTTACAGGTGGGATTAAATGTGTCTTCAGCCAGGCCACACGAGGGCGTGATGTCCCATAGTGCATTAGTTGTACCGAGTGGATCGACTGAAAGGGAACTTTTAAGGACAGGATTTCTAGGTAAAGCCAAGGTGTTGAGAGGATCTGTTTTGGTGACCTAACCCAGCAAACATTCGGACGTTTAATCAAAGTTGAAAAGATGTTGGGCCAACACGTCCCATCATGGTTGAAAAATAGTTCTAAAATGAAAGTTGAACTGACGTCTTTTCTGGACTTGAATTACACGTCTTTCGGCACATCTCGTTTGGAAGTTTAATGACCGTCAGTATACATCTCATCTGCACTGTAAAATAAAATGTAGTTTTTACATTTAATAATAATTATAATAAATAGAATATTTCCTGTGTCCATCCTTGCTTTACCAATTGACTTATCCCAGCCTGGACTCAAACCCACGTCCTCTAGATGTCACGTTTTGGAGGGATGGTTAGAACCCCAAAATGCAGAACCCAGGATGACACTAGGCAGGAGTAGATATATAAAGAAAAACTCTTTTATTTTTAGGATGAACAAAATTAAATCCAAAAAAGGCAGGGAGCCAAAATCCAAAAATCCAGAACATGAGAACAAAGTCCACTTAGAGCACAAACTGGGGACGGGACAGGAAGCTCACCCAGAGCACCAAAACAACACTGACAAACAACATTGGACCGACAAGAACAATGAGACAAGGAGAGGGCTTTATACACTGGGGCTGGAGTGATAGGAGACGAGGAGCAGGTGTGTGGGGAACTGGCACAGGTGAAAGCACTAATGAGGAGAGGAGCAGAGGAGGGCACCAGACCTGACTGGGAAGGACACACACATACACTGAGCTGGGGAAGGACACGCACACACACATACACAAACACATACCGAGCTGGGGAAGGACACGCACACACATATACACACACACCGAGCTGGGGAAGGACACACACACACACACACACACACACACACACACACACACACACACACACACACACACACACACACACACACACACACACCGAGCTGGGGACAAAAACGGCTGGAGCTATAAGGATACAGAATGTGAAGGAACACCTGGAGGGGCTGGGGATGACTGAACACAGGACCTGGGAGGAATGATCTAAAGGGCCACAACAGAAGACACATGAAGAACACAAAGAGACACATAATTAGACGCAGACAACGGACACATGAGGGCGCTATGAGATACAAAAGGAGAACCTGGAGTGGGAACTGGAGGGGCTGGGGACAAAGGGACACAGAACATGACACTAGAATGTAAGTCAGGTGACTAACCGGTTGAGCTATCCCATTGATTTTAATGAGGTGACAATATTCACTATTTAAGTAGTAGATTTCCACTTACAACTGATTCACGATATGCCATGTGTTGAACTATACGTAACTAATTGTCAACGTAACAATTATACATGTAACTATAAATCTGAGTGGATTTTTAGGAAATGTTATGTTAATTTTTTTTTATTTGGATGCTATGTTGCACTACACGTAACTAATTGTCAACATAACAATTATACATATAACTGTAGACATGTACAAATGTGTTTGGAATGGATTTTTAAGACATGTTCTGCTATATATTTTTTTTTTATTCGAGCTGTCCTACCGCAACCATTTTTGGACGTGGACACCATGTCGGTGTCGGACCAATGTTTGTTAGAAAGGATCAAGTCTCTGCTTTTTGCAGATGATGTGGTCATATTGACTTGATCAGACCGTGATCTCAAACTTTCGTGGGAGCGATTCGTAGCTGAGTGTGAAGTGGCTGAGACGAGAATCAGCTCCCCTAAATCTATGGTCTTGAATCAGAAAATGGTAGACTGCCTTATCCAGGTCAGGTACAAGGCCCTTCCTCAGGCGGAGAAGTCTAAGTATATCAGGGTCTTGTTCAAAAGTGAGGGAAAGATGGAGTTTGAGATCGATAAGCAGATTGGTGCTGCATCTGCTGTATGCAGGCGTTGTACCAGTCTGTCATGGTGAAGAGAGAGCTGAGCCAGAAGGCAAAGCTCTCAATTTACCATTCCATCTAAGTTCCAACCTTCATCTATGGTCACAACTTTGGATAGTGATGGAAAGAACGAGACAGCAGATACAAGAGACCATAATAAATTCTTTCCTCAGGGTGTCTGGGCTTTCCCTTAGAGAGGGATGAGAAGCTTGGCCATCAGGCAGGGGCTCATAGGTTTGGAAAACTTCCATGACCAAGCTCAGGTGGCACTCCAGCACCCAAAACATTGCTAAGCTGAGTCTAATTCTGTCATGCTTTGAGCTTGAGATTGTTTTCCACACCTTCAACTCCTAGTGCTTAGACCACTGCAACTTACTTTTCACTTGTCTGAGCAAAACCTCCCTGAACTGTTTACGGGTGGTTCAGGATGCCTGTGCTAGGCTTCTGACAAAATAATCATAATATGTATATAACCACCCCCTCATGGTCTCCTCCTTCAGTTTGATGGCCTATGTTATCCACCAGTGAGTCCAGTTCCCTCCATGACTTGCTCCAGCAACCTTAAAGCCACTGACAGCAGCAGCAACCGCAACAATTGAAGAATTTAATAAGGCTCAGTGTTCCCCACTGATATGGGAAGTGGCCAAAGCTCTGCCAGAGACGGGAAGAGAAGATCATTTTTACAGGTTCTTCCACCAGGCGTTTTTCAGTGGACCCTGGCTACTCGTTTGTGTCTGCTATTTCTATGTAGCATCACCCAAAGCTAGTTTAACTCCTCTGAGTCAACACACGTCCTAAACAGCTGATAATTAACAAACAAATTCAGCCGTAGAAGCAGCATCTCGGCATTTAGACAGAAATAAATTACTGGTAGGTAAGCGAGGCATGCAGTCACATTATCTCTTGTCTTACTTAAGTGGATACATTTTAATTTTACCCTAAATAATATATTTATTCATAATCTGTGCAGATGATGATGATGAGGATGGTGCTTATCACAAAGGATCTCTTTGTACTTTCTGTGAATTCTGTGAGGTAAGTAGCAACCTCTGTCCTTCTCTCACTCCTTCGTCCCTCTCTCTTTCATGTCCCCCACTCCTGTAAAGTCTATTCTATTTTATAGTCTGAAATTATTGCTGCTCTTCATGATAACCTTCACTTTCTCTTAGAATCTGACTTTGATCTTCTCATTCTTCCAGTTTCTGCTCCTATGAGTAAAGGTTATCTATTCAGCAAGAATTCATTTTTCAGTGATAGAATTTTTACTTCAGTACAAGTTTTCTCACAGAAATCATATTTTGGCTTTCTTTATTTTCTGCCTGCCTTGTTAAGCGACCTTTCAGGGTCTGAGAAGCTGTTTTTACAAAACAATGCCATCAATTTGTCGCAACGCCGGGGCGTTATCAGGAAGCCTCAGGTCATTTATAGGTGGTCAGACCGTGGTGGTAACGTGGCGCAATCATTGTCCTTTTTAAGAAGATTAGGCAATGGTGGAATAAAGGGGGTACGGGGCGCTCTCTGTGCCGTTTATCTTGGGCATAACTTGCTTTCTATTGCTATTGAAGCCGCGATAGTTAAATTTTTTTAACAAGCCTCTCCTAAAGGTGTCTGTCCCCCATCAGTACCCATGCATTCTCTGGTGATCTGAGCTCCAGCTCTAATGGAGAGAAGGTACTGCAGCTGATTGTGTTGAAAAAGCAAAACTTATTGCCAGTGTTTACCTTTATTTGGCGGCGCGGCGCGGCAGTAGCACGCAGCGGCCACTCCGGAGCCAAATGGTGCCTACGTTTTTGTGTATCATGGTTTTTTATCTTATCTTATCTTTCTTATTTTTTACTATGGATATCGTCGGAACTGGTGCCTGTACATACAGCAGCCAGACACTTTGCTACCTTCAAAACCCGGACAACGATATCCAAGAGGAGCTGCGGGAAACGCTACGAGAACTCGGCTTGCTCCACGCACCAGGCCTCCGCGCACTCGATGCCTCATCGCTGCCTGATGCTGGCGTCCGGAGGAGGGGACATCGGAAGCGATGCGCGAGGAAGCGTAAGCGCGGCAAGCGGGCGGGAATCTGTCACAGGCTAAAAACAAACCCTAGCCGGCCGGCTCTCCCGTCCATCATCTTGTCCAACGTCTGCTCCCTGGATAATAAACTGGACTACATCCGACTCCAGCAGGCTACGCAGCGTGAGGCCAGAGACTGCTGTGTCTATATTTTCACGGAGACATGGCTCAGCGACAGAGTACCGGACGCCGCTATTCAGCTGGACGGGATGGCCTCGTTTCGAGCCGACAGAAACGTAGCTCTGTGCGTCAAGACTCGCAGTGGCGGCCTGTGTGTTTACGTCAATGAGAAATGGTGCAAGAACGCTCTGCTAGCTTCTCGCTATTGCTCACCGCTGGTGGAGTTTGTGACTGTCAGATGCAGACCATTTTATTTACCACGGGAATTCACCACTGTTTTCATTATCGGAGTGTACATTCCACCTGGCGCTAATACTAAGGAAGCGTTAGGAGAACTGTACACAAACATCAGCGAACTGCAAAACACACACCCAGATGGACTGTTCATTGTTGCTGGAGATTTCAACCATGCAAATCTCAAATCAGTGCTTCCTAGATTCCATCAGTATGTGGACTTTGCAACGAGAGGGGTAAACATGCTGGATTTGGTTTACACAAACATCCCCGGCACATATCGGGCAGAGCCCCGCCCCCACCTTGGCTACTCAGACCACATCTCTGTCATGCTAATTCCAGCATACAGACCACTCGTCAAGCGAAAAAAAACCGGTTCTGAGGCAGGCGAAAACCTGGCCGGCAGGAGCCACCTCTGCTCTTCAAGACTGTTTTGAGTGCACTGACTGGAACATGTTTAGGGAGGCTGCAACTTACGGCGACTCTACTGACTTGGAGGAGTACACGTCATCGGTGTCGAGCTACATCAGCAAATGCATCGATGACGTCTCTGTCTCCAAGACCATCATCTCACGACCCAACCAGAAACCGTGGATTACTGCGGAAGTGCGCACACTTTTGAGAACCAGAGACTCTGCCTTCAAAGCAGGAGATAAGGTGGCGCTTAGCAGAGCTAGAACTGAACTATCTCAGGCCATTAGAGAGGCGAAGCGCGCACACGCCCAGAGGATCCACAAGCACTTCATGGACAGCGGCGACACACGGCGAATGTGGCAGGGCCTACAAGCCATCACCAACTACAGGACGACAACACCTGCCTGTGATGGTGACGGCTCCCTCCCTGATGCGCTGAACAACTTCTACGCTCGGTTCGACAGGCAGAACGACGTGGCAGCAAGGAAGTCAATCCCTCCTCCGGACGACCAGGTGTTGTGTCTCACTACAGCAGAGGTGAGGAAAACTCTACGCAGAGTCAATCCACGTAAAGCTGCTGGTCCAGACAACATCCCGGGCAGAGTGCTAAAGGAATGTGCTGAACAGCTGGCGGATGTTCTCACCGACATCTTCATCATCTCTCTGAGCAGTGCCGTTGTTCCCACGTGCTTTAAGGCCACCACCATCGTCCCAGTGCCCAAGAAATCTTCTGTGTCCTGTCTCAACGACTACCGTCCTGTTGCACTTACACCCACCATCATGAAGTGCTTCGAGCGGCTAGTCATGACACACATCAAGACCCTGTTGCCCCCCTCACTGGACCCACTGCAATTTGCATACCGCCATAACCGCTCAACAGATGACGCCATTTCCACTGCACTCCATCTTGCCCTCACACACCTGGACAAGAAGGACACACATGTTCGAATGCTGTACATAGATTTCAGCTCAGCATTCAACACGATCATCCCCCAGCAACTGATCGGAAAACTGAGCATGTTGGGCCTGAACACCTCCCTCTGCAACTGGATCCTGGACTTTCTGACTGGAAGGCCTCAGTCAGTACGGATCGGGAACTGCACCTCCAGCACCACCACACTAAGCACGGGGGCCCCACAAGGCTGTGTGCTCAGTCCTCTGCTGTTCACACTGCTGACTCATGACTGTGTAGCAACACACAGATCAAATTACATCATTAAGTTCGCTGATGACACAACCTTGGTGGGTCTCATCAGCAAGAACGACGAGTCAGCATACAGAGATGAAGTGCAGAGGTTAACAAACTGGTGTAAGGTCAACAACCTGTCTCTGAATGTTGACAAGACAAAAGAGATGGTTGTTGACTTCAGGAGGATACGGAGTGACCACTCACCACTGAGCATCAACGGCTCCTCTGTGGAGATCGTCAACAACATCAAATTCCTGGGAGTTCACCTGGACAAAGACCTCACCTGGTCCCTCAACACCAGCTTCCTGTACAAGAAATCCCAACAGCGTCTCTTCTTTCTGAGAAGACTGAGAAAGGCCCAGCTTCCACCAGCGATGCTAACCACCTTCTACAGAGGAACTATTGAGAGCATCCTGAGCTGCTGTATCACTGCCTGGTTTGGGAACTGTGCAATCTCTGACCGCAAAACCCTACAGCGGATAGTGAAAACAGCAGAGAAGATCATAGGAGTCTCTCTCCCCTCAATCAAGGACATCTACACCACACGCTGCATCCGCAAAGCCACCAGCATTGTGGCTGACTGGTCACACCCCTCTCACACACTCTTCACACTCCTGCCATCTGGAAGAAGGTACCGAAGCATTCGAGCACTCACATCCAGACTGTGCAACAGCTTCTTCCCACATGCCATTCGTCTCCTCAACGAAAAGGGACTGGACTGATAAACGCATGCATGCACACACACTCACACACACACACGCACACACACAAACACGCGAACACACTCATGTTCTGTCCTTAATTAGATAGTTTGTTTTTCTTATATTTTTTTCATGTTGTAAATTTATGTTGCATGTAGCACCTTGGTCCTGGAGGAACGTTGTTTCGCCTCACTGTATACAAACCGTATATGGCTGAAGTGACAATAAAGTTGATTGATTGATTGATTGATTGATTGATATTTTCGGTCAAGTTGGCGGCTGGAGCTCGGCATTAACACCCTACATCATCATGACACCTGTTGCAACAAGGCGCAATCGCCATTTATCAGACAGACAATTACTGCAATATCACTGCTAAGCGAGGCAGAATGAATGCCGCAAAACTCTTTCATTGCCATACTAACATGGCGCATTTATAAGGCACACCTTTGTAGTACGCCGATTTGCCGGCACAGCGTGTCTTGTAAAAAGGTCTAGAGACACGTGATTAAAATGATAAATGGCCTGTATTTGATATAACGCCTTTGAGAGTCCTGGAACCCCCTAAGGCACTTTACAACACAATCAGTCATTCACCCATTCACACACACATTCCCACCCTGGTCGGGATTAGCTACGATGTAGCCACAGCTGCCCTGGGGCGCACTGACATAAGCAAGGCTACCAAACACTGGCACCACCGGTCCCTCCAACCACCACCAGCAGACAAGGTAGGTTAAGTGTCTTGCCCAAGTGCTGCTGGCGCTGATGGGGGCTATTTTCACCTCCTAATATGGTCAAAGAAGTTTAAGACTTACTGAAAGTTACATAAGCTGGGCTGAACAACAGGATGTCAGGCTGCACGTACGCAGCAGCTGGGCTGATAAACAGGATGTCAGTTCTCACGTACACAGCAGCTGGGCTGATAAACAAGATGTTGAGCACGTACGCTCCTACACAAGGACACAGCGACAGACTGAGTGAGACTCGAACCTGCAACCTTCCGATTACGGGTCGAGCACTCCTGTGCCACCGTCGCCCCAATTAGGATTACCATTCTAATGGGCCATAGAGACTGTAATGGGTTACTGGTGGTGACCTCAGTACATTTATACTGTAGCTTTAAAGGGGACATGTTATGCAAAACTCACCTTTTACATCCTTTTGTGCTGCTAAGTGGGTCTCTACTGCATCTGTTAACCCTCCAAACATGAAAAAAAAATCCATCTATTTTCTGTCAGTGTTTGTTTTTTGGAAATATGTACGTGAAACAAGTCATTACAAAAAAAATTCCCATTTGTGATGTCACAAATGGGGAAATTAGAAAAGAGCCACCTCTCACATTTAAAAGAGAGCTGCTGCTGGGGGAGCTGTGGCTCTACTCCGAGCCCCTCCCTAATATCTCTGATTCTCAGCTTATAGGGAACCTAGTCACTTCCACGTCATGGGTCTCCGGAAGAACGAAAGAATGCAAGTCAACGGGACAAAAAACGTTGTTTTCTAATCTGCTTTGCCTTACGCCCAGGATCGCACATATGTTTTACTGCTATTTAAACAAAAAGCAATGATGGGTGTTTTGACCACGCCAGTCACGTACTTTGAGATGTATTATCTTGTAAAAGTTTTTAATTAGCATGACTACAAACTAGAAATCGGCACACTGCATATGTGATGTCACCACATAATCTCCTCCCCCCCAGCGTAGCTGCTACTTACCACATGACCAGATCTATGGTGGTTCGTTCCTCCTGTGGGAAGTTTGCTGAACTTACAGCCCTTTCCTTCAGTTTTCTCCGTGTCTGGTTCGATGACGTCACTTTCGTGAAGCGCATTTGTAGTCCTGGACATATTTTCACACAAAACCTAAAATATTGTTCCCCCTGTTTGAAAAGAAGTGCTTTCTTGGTATCAAAATGCGTCTTTAAAATTCACTGACATCAAATGTGAAATCCATGGCACAAAACAAGCGGAATTATAAAATAGCGTCTTTAACCCCGTTAACTTGCGTTCATTTTTTCGTTCTTCTGGGGACCCATGGTGCGGAAGTGACTTAGGCTCCCTATAGCAGCCTGATTGGGGGTCGGGTGGGCGGGGCTAGCTCCAGCTCATTCTGGAAGGTACTGAAACTGTCAAGAATTAAATTGCTGAAGTTGCTTTATGTGGGAGCAATTTAGAGCAAGGAAGTTCATGAATGTGTTCTGAATCAACAAAAGAACTATTTTAACTGAAGAAAAAAGTTATAATATGTCCCCTTTAACATATATGTCTTGTTCTTTTACTTAATATTCCATAATAATTTCTACATCATTTTGTCACAACTTACACTTATAAACACCGTGCTCACATGTGACTGTTTCTTACCTTTGTGCTTTCTTCCAGCACTGTGACAACTGTGATAAATGTCCTTGTGCAGAGGGAGATAAGTCTGAACACTGTGATGACTGCAAGGTGAGAAGATACATGTAGAACATCTGGTCAGTCTGTGCACCATTTAGTGGCAGGAAAAACCTGAGTCCAAACTGACATGCTTCCACACAGGGCACTCAACATGTGAACAAATGACCAGTGATTAGAGAAGACACTCAAGCATTATTTCTTTTTCTTTTTTCCTTTATTTGCACAACAGCAAAAACATGGTAAATAGCCTGTATTTCTATAGCACCTTCTAAAACCCCCCCAAGGCGCTTTACAACACAATCCACCCATTTACACACACATTCATACGTGGGTGGGAAGGATCTATGCAGCCACAGCTGCCCTGGGGCTCACTGACAGAGGTGAGGCCTGCCATACACTGGTGCCACCGGTCCCTCTGACCACCACCAGCAGGTAAGGCAGGTTAAGTTTCTTGCCCAAGGACACAAAAGCAGCATTCGCTGGTTGGAGACAAGATCGAACCTGCAACCTTCTGATTACTGGAAAACCTGCTCTACTTCTTGAGCTACTGCTGTCCCTGTAAAAGATACAATAAACATTATAAAACAATATTTGAACAATAATAATCACATTATCCAGGTCAGTATTTGAACTGTTGTCCAAATGTTACTGGATAATTGTTGCCTCATTAATGTTTAATTGGTTATTAGGCTGAATAAAGATGTTTTCACCAATCATCCATCAACTCATTCATGCATCCTTTCGTCCATCCAGATGTAATAAATGAATGTGTCTCTTTTTTGTTACAGATGTGTAGTTTCTGCCATGTTTGTCCTGTATGTGAAACGGTTTGCAAACCTGGTGAGTTTATTTGGAGGCTTCTGTTGATCATTTTACTCATCAAATCATCAAACTTTCTCTAAAATGTTTGGAACATAGAATCAAAGTGAGGGTATAGGAACAACAAACCACTCCTGAGAGTTAAAGATGAAGCAGCAAAACTGGGTGTTTGTCCATGAAAAAACAGGATGGGTGTATATAATGATGTTGTAGCACCACCAAAACGTCATTAAGTTAAATACATTGTCAGAAAGAGTTTTTCTGTGTGATCACAACTGTTACCGTCCTGAGAGGTCGTCACCTCACTCTTTGTTTTATCGCTGCAGGAGGGTTTATCGATGAAGTGACTGGATCCATCTACAAGTGAGTCTTTTTGTGCTCATCTGTTTCCAGCTAAGGACTTAACCAATGATGTCTGTAAACTCTGATCTCTCCACCCACAGGACTGTGGCTGACGTCTTTGATGATGATGATGACAACTGAAGCTGCCACCATGTGGCCCAACTGCTCTGTCTTACACTTCTGATTATTGTTATCTTTAACACATTTGCTCAAGAATAACAAAACAAGATTGTTCAGAGATGCTTGAATATTTTTCTGTACTGCTGTTATCTGAAAAGTTACATGTTTAAGGAAACTATAATCAAAGCTATTCTGGTTTGTGTAAAATTTTAAAAGAAGGGATATTTTCAGTGATCAATGCTTTGGTTCTGTAAACAGTCAGAATGCTGGAGGAATTGTTATCAAAGACAATAAAAATGATAACTTAAATATCTGACTGGGCTTTCAGAAAACATGCTTCACCTAATCAAACCCTCAGTAAATTCTTAGCAAGAACCTATGACTATTTACTGTCAAATGTTGATAAAAACAACTATAGAACAAGCAGTGGCGGTGTTACCATTAGGCATAGGTCTGCGGCCGCCTGGGGCCCCCAACATAAGGGGGCCCCCTCGCCCTGACCACCAGCACCCCTTTGTTAATGCCGCAATGGACTTTTCCTTTAAGACGCCGATGCAAAAACAGAAAACGATTGGCAGTCATTCCACCCCAATCCAGTTGGTGGCAGTAATGCACCAAATTGTTGTTTGCCAAGTGCCACAAGACCACATTTAAGAAGAAGAAGAGAAAGCAGAAGAAGAAGAAGAAGAGAGGGAGGAGCGTTTGTAACAAACTCAAAGCGGTAGTCAAAACATTAAGCATGAAATGGAGTTATCCTAGTGGCTCCAATAAGAGAAAGCAGCAGCATGCTTCAAAAAAGCTTTTATTTTCACTTCCGAAAGTGACGTAGTTTTTCTATGTAAACATCAAAAGGAAGCAGAAAGGAAAGACAATGTAAAATGTTTAAAGGGAGGAAAACATAGACCAAAATGGAAAATAGAAGAAAAGAAAGGCAAAAGCACAGGAGCACTGACAGGAAGAAAAAAGCAGAGCAAAGATTGAAGGCGCTCAAAGGGAAAGAGACAGAAAAAAAGAGGTCTAATAAAGAGTGAAAATAACTCGTGTCAGAAGAGGGAAGAGTTTTGCAAATCCAGTTAAAGATAAGATTGTCGAAAATTTAGTGTAAGGGACCCCATGTCTGTGTTCGCCGTGGGCCCCAAATTGCTAAATCCGCCACTGAGAACAAGGTCTAGAGCTAAGGCTTTGTGCCTCTGGTAGGGTCACCCACGGCAAGCAGGTCCTAGGTGAGGGATCAGACAAAGTGCAGCCCAAAGGCCCCTAATGACAACAAATATCAGTAGAAACTGTGTTCCCTCGCTCGGACACGGGTCACCGGAGCCCCCCTCTGGAGCCAGGCCTGAAGCTGGGCTGGGCTTTTACCCATGGTGCCCATAATATATACTGTCACACGTAATCCTACATTAGAACAATGTTACTGCAAAAAATTATATCGCATTTTATTACAGTACCACTCGTCCTCTGTGGTGAAATATCCATCCACCCATTAGGATTATTTACATAATTACATCACATTTATCCCTGCCCCCATCTTCCCCAAGAAGTATCCATCCATCCATCCATCCATCCATTTTCATCAGGTCATCCGGAGTCGGGTCGTGGGGGCAGTAGCCTAAGGCGAGAGGCCCAGACTTCCCTCTCCCCAGCCACTTTGGCCAGCTCCTCCGGGGGAATCCCAAGGCGTTCCCTGGCCAGGTGAGAGACATAGTCCCTCCACCGTGTCCTGGGTCTACCTTTAGGTCTCCTCCCGGTTGGACGTGCCCGGAAAACCTCACCAGGGAGGCGTCCAGGAAGCATCCTTACCAGATGTCCGAGCCACCTCAACTGGCTCCTCTCGCTGTGGAGGAGCAGTGGGTCTACTCCAAGCCCCTCCCGGATGACCGAGCTTCTCACCCTATCTCTAAGGGAGAGCCCAGCCACTCTGCGGAGAAAACTCATTTCGGCTGCTTGTATCTGCAATCTCGTTCTTTCGGTCACTACCCAAAGCTCATGACCATAGGTGAGGGTAGGAACGTAGATCGACCGGTAAATCGAGAGCTTCGCCTTCTGACTCAGCTCTCGCTTCACCACAACAGACCGGTACAACGCCTGCATCACTGCAGATGCAGCACCAATCCGCCTATCGATCTCACGCTCCAGTTTTACCTCACTTGTGAACAAGACCCCAAGATACTTAAACTCCTCCACTTGGGGCAGGACCTCATCCCTGACCCGGAGAAGACATTCTACCCTTTTCCAAATCAAGACCATGGTCTCAGATTTAGAGGAGATGATTCTCATCCCAGCTGCTTCACACTCGGCTGCGAACTGCTCCAGCGAAAGCTGAAGATGACGTTCTGATGAAGCCAACAGGACCACATCATCTGCAAAAAGCAGAGACCTGATCCTCAGGCCACCAAAACGGATGCCCTCCACACCTTGGCTGTGGCTAGAAATCCTTTCAATAAAGGTTATCAACAGAATCGGTGACAAAGGGCAGCCTTGGCGGAGTCCAACTCTCACTGGGAACGAGCCCGACTTACTGCCGGCAATGCGGGGGTACTCCGGGAGTATGGGGGTACCAGGCCCTCTGAGGAGTGAGCACCACCTCACCCCTGCCACGTGGACCTCAAGGGATAAACCATCAATCCTGCTCAACGGTCAACTTTCCTCACGGGGTCACGCATGAAGACAGTGGGAGGGTTAAGGATACTCCTATCGACACCTCCGGTGTCAGATAGGCATGACCTGCATGAAGAGAGTTAACTTTTGGTCATTTAATGAAACCCAGGCCTTGAGCTTCGCTACACTGTTGTTGTTTTTGTGAGACTGCTGTCAGATCTCTTTACTACTCGGCGTCACTTCTCCAGAGGTTTGTCATGTCCAACAACAAAGTAGGATGTGGGTGTTCCTCTTCTGGTTTTCACAATAAAACGAAAGTAATGCACAAATAAAGTTTGTTGTGGTTTTCAAGTTAAGATATTTCAGCCACATCCTTCTGGGTTCCTCATCTCTGGGGAGGTGGTGAAAACTGTACCAACGCTCGCAGCCACACACTCTCTCACTCTGGAGGTAAATGTTCTAAATGTTGCTCTTGTAGCTACACATTTTATTTTCTCTGATTGTTAGTACAAGCACAAAAAACGCAACATCTTCCCGAGCCGACTGAGTACACTTTTGTGTGTGTGTGTGTGTGTGGGGGGGGGGGGGGTAAATATTGTTTTAATCCTTTTCAAATGTTCAAAAAAACTGTTACTAGCAATGAAGCCTCACAATAAAAACCTATGGTTATGCACCACTTCCGATATCTCACAGGATGCTGCTTGCATCAGAGTTTCTCCATTAGACAACTCAAAAATAAGGTGGATAGGACTCCAAAGCTAAAGTACAATCATTCACACTCTGACGGTGATGTACAGTGTAGCCATTGCTGCCACGGTGAGCCTGCCATACGCAGGTCCTACCAGTCCCTCCAACCAACACCAGCAGACAAGCAGGATGAAGTTTCTTGTCCAAAACTGACAGACATGAAAGGAGCCTGTGTTCAAACCTGCAGCCAACTGACTACAGGCCCACTGACCAAGTCCTCCAAACACACCCACATCACCCCGCTTCTCCTCCAGCTTCACTGGCTGCCAGTCAACTTCAGGGTTCATTTCAAGATCCTGGTTCTGGTCTATAGGGCCTTACATGGACAAGCACCATCTTACATTGGTGATCTTCTTAGTCCCTACACCCCCAGCAGGTCCCTGAGGTCCAGTGATCAAAGCCTACTGGTTGTGCAGCACCAGACTAAAGACCAAAGGTGACAGATCATCTGCTGCTGTGGCCCACAGACTCTGGAACTCTTTCCCCCTGAGCCTGAGATCAGTGGACTCAGTGGTCTCCTTTAAGAAGCAGCTGAAGACTCACTTGTTCAGGCTTTGGTGTGACCTTCATCACCCTCTCCCTATTCTGCTCTTATTCCACCTTTCCTGGGATCCATTGATTTCCCTCTTTCCTGTTCATTTTCTCTTTCCCTTTCCTTACGTTATTATTATTTATTTTTTAAACACAATTATTTTTCATTAAAAAACTTATTTTTCTTCATTTTTTAAATGTTTTTTACACTTTATTTATTTTTGTTTGTTTGTTTATGTGAAGCGCCTCGTGATTTTTATCTCGAGAGGTGCTGTATAAAAGTTCAACAGTTGTCATCCTAGAGAAGTTACTGGTGCAGGTTCCCCAGTAAAATGTGCAGATTTACATGCTTCTTTTATCCAACACTGAATGAACAAAACCTTTAGACATCGTCTCCTGTGTCATACTGAGACTGGGGGGCTGGTGCCTATCTCCAGCAGTCAACAGGCAAGCAGTCGGGTAATGACAGTATTTCCTAATCTAATTATGAGAATCTATGATGTATTAGATGATAGTATTTCATAATTAAGACTTAACGGGTCTTCCATGGTAAAAAGAGGAGTTTAAATAAATAAATAAAGACTGTCCAGGCCCAGGCCCAGGCCTGCGCACCGCTCCGGTAGGTGGCAGCACACATCAGTACCCAATGTTGAGATCTTTTCAGAGGAAGAATGAAACTTCCGCTTTACATTCAGGTTACAAAACCCAAAAGCTGAGCTCAGAAAAAACTCCAGACCGCGAGGAAGTGAAGGTAGCGGCCGATGGGGATTGAAAAATTATGCAGTCCGGACGGTTCCGATCCGTTCTGGGTGAGTAGTTCTGCGTGACAACGGTGCTTTTGTCTTCGCGGAGCGGTGTGTAGTTGTTAGCTAGCCGGTGTGCCGCTGTTAGCGCTCTGCGAGCCTCGGCTTCCTGCCTGACCACACTCTAAACACCTGCCGATCACATTTAGCAGACCACTTGGTGTTTGTTCCACAACACAAACCGTGACGTTCATGCGATGTTTCTAAGCTGACGTCACTGTGAGGAGGAAACGGGTGAGGGAGCTTTACAGAAAGAGACGAAATAAGTCTGGGTTGACTGATACTCAGTGGTGGGCTTCATCCTAAATGCAGATGACCCCCAACTCCCTTCCCCGAGGGCCGCTGACCTAGAAGCTGTTGGGTTTTCTATTGACATTCATGATTATTTTAACCAGGACCAGCACTATGAGCCCATAGCAACATAACTAAAGGGATGAGCCATTAATAACCCAGCATGTCCTCCAGCAATCTTACCTGTGGGTGCGTGTGCGGCAGGCAGAGGCGCAGTTTCGTTGTGTGCTTTGTGGTGCCTCAGTTGTCAGACTCGGAGTTTGTATTTCTCTACTCAAGGACCAGTTCTGTAAAACCTTAAATCTCATTGTCTTTGGCTCTCTGATCTGCTTTTAAAATCCCTGATTATCCTTTTTGGTCCATGACCTAACAGGGCCAAGAGCTCCAGGAAGCATTGGGAGAGGTTTAAAGGTTATTTGAAAAATTACCCCTAACTAGGATGTATAGCTTTTCCATGTGGCATGGAGCCGTAACGCACAGAGAGTAGATACATCTGTCTGTGCCCCTGGTCACATCACTGTTGCACTTTCAGCACTAAAACATGGAGGATATCATGTTGTAATTACATCAATAAGCCTCAGTGAAAGGATCCAGGTAACTGTTGTTATTATTAGTTAGCATGCCAGTGCACATGCACAGAGGGCTGGGCAATAAATCGAAAATCTATAGTTATTGAAATTTCTGACTCTTATTGAGATCATTTTTCCCATGTCAATTAATTTGGTAATAAAAAAAATGAAAGGTGTGTGTAGGTTGGCAACGTTAAGAAAAACTGCTACCTGGCTTCAGTTCAAAAAGATCTACCGACCACAAAAACACAGGAGTGCACGCCGGCAGCACCGGTGAGGTGAAATCACCGGAGGACAAAACAGGTGATGCGCTCCGCTCTGCAGCAGCAAAATGCATCGGGTACAAAAAGGATATGAGCCAACATAAACGATTGCGTGTTATATATGTTTTGTGAGGTAGCGACACTTTAAGAGTGTTACTGTGGCCGCGCTCAGGACGCAGCTGTCTGGAGCGCGTCAATGATCAGATCTGCGCCTCTCAGCTCAAAATAATCCCAGCACAGTCCACATGAATAATGTAATTTAAGTAGAACCAGGATCGTTTTTGAGCTCCCCCTTAGTGTGTTAGTTGAGGGCTTCCAGGGGAGCCTGTCACCCTTTCGGGCGAGACTGGCTCCCTTTAGCTCAACCGTAATTCGAACCCTGCGTATAGCACAAGTTGGTTGCGTGAGTTGCCAGAACCTAGCATACAGTTGTCGGAACGGTCCTTTCAAAATAAGACAGTTCCCAGATTAGGGATGAGCGAGTACACCACTATCTGTATCTGTATCTGTACTCGCAATGGGCGTTGCATAACCCGGAAGTGGGCGTGGTTTACATCAATATATTGTTTTAAGTCTGAAATTGATATGGACTGATCAGAAGTTGATGTGTGTATTGTTTATTGAAAACTATTTACAGAGCAGCCTCAGAATTGAGATTAAATATTTTTTATCACAATAGTAAACTATTACAGAACAAGTGTTTCAATAAAATCAGAACATTAATATTTAAGTGCATGGATTAATGCATCTGAACTCATGCAGTAGGAACTAGGAAATATGAGATGCTAGTACCAGACACAACTTTATGTATTTTTTTTTTATTTTAATTTGATTAAACTGATTTTTTTCTTAACGTTCTTGGCATTTTGCCCCACACAAAGTTAAACAAAACAATGTTGATTAAGGTGTGTGTGTCTGAGAGAGAGAGAGAGAGAGAGAGAGGGTAAGAGGGAGAGAGATGGAGTTAAAAAAATAAAATAAAAAACCCGACCGGAGCGGAGGTAGTGAGTGATGCAGAACGTCAGCTCTGTCTTGTCAAATGCACCTTGTAAGTTACGAAAAAATTAACTTTAAATATTCAACTGAAAAAGAGGCGAGCTGAAGAAAACCTAGGGAAAACTGAAGAAACGTGAGCAACAGTGAAGCAATCACAGCGAGATCCGTTACTGTCTATGTGTGTGCGTGGATGAGCCGGATGGACTGCGCTCCCGGCCGGCTAGATAGTTTTGTGTGTAGGTAGTAGCGGGCGCTCTATGTGACTGGCCAATCGCAGAGTGTGAAGACATTCAGTTACCCAATGAGGATTTTCCTTCAGCATGATTACTAGGGCTGGGGGTAAACGATTATTTTTAAAACGATTATTCTGACGATTATTTTATCGAATAGTCGACTATTCTAATGACTATTTAGAAAATTAATCTAATGATTATTTTTCTATTGCACAATTAACAAAAACCAGAAAATCACAAATAAATTCCTCAAAAAAATTGATAAATTCTTACTGTAAGAGAATAAACACTACAGGCCTTCCATTTTTTATAACACTGCGTTTATTGTGTTGGTTGGTTATGTTCTGGTGACATGTAAAACTTGGGAGAGCAGGCTGCTGCCTGAGAGGTGGTAGAAGATGGAGTGTCTCCATGCTGCTTTGTTTTGGTCACTTATGTGCGTGAGGCGAGTGGTGTTACGGGTTAAACCAAGCTCAGGTGATATTTTAAACTAAACCGAAAACCCACAACACTCTAAATGTAATAAAAGGGAGATCTACACCACAAAAAAGATGAACTCTAAACCAAAACTTAACAGCTTATCCCAACGCAAGAAGCTGTTAGCGAAGATGCTAACAGTAGCTTTACCAACGTTAAGTTCAAGTTACCAAGTTTAAATAAAACAAAAACACCCAGCAGCAAACAGACCAGCACGGAGGAGAGACTGCTACCACCAAAACAGCTCTCCTCATGTCTGAAAGAAGCTCCTTTATGAAGGGAGAAGCGCTCCCGGTGATTTTCTACATCTGCGATAGACACGAAGCAGCGCATCTGACCCCGGAAGTTGTTGTCCGTTGCCGGGAGACGAAGGCGGGCAAAACAGGAAAATAATCTAGTAGTGGACGGACATTGTTCCGGGTCTTCGGTATTTGGCGGAGATGTTAGTGAAGGCGGAGAAGAGGGCGAACTAGAGGAAAAACAGGCAGATTCCTCCTCTATTTACAAACTCCTGGGGATGCAACAAGTGGGCGCGGTGCGTCGACTACCGGATCTGACGTCGACAAATTTTTAGAATCGAGCCGTCGACTTCGTCGAGGCTTCGCTACAGCCCTAATGATTACAGATATTTACGAGGTTTACTCGTTTCATGCTCGTATTTGTCAAAATGCTTTATCCGTACCGGATACTCGTCTGAAACGAGTATCCGGCTCATCCCTAATATATATATATATATATAACATTCAAAATATAAGAACATTTTGTAATAACGTGTAAAAATAAGAACGAACATCTGTAAAAATGATCCATTCCAATATGGCAGTCTGTTGACATCATAATATGCAATTTAGATGAGTGAATTTGCTCTGAACACAAAGTTTGGGTCCTACTGAAGATTTTCCTCATTTACAGTTTATCTAACCATTTCCAAGTTAGAATTTATGTTTATTTATTTTTGGGCTGCATGGTGGCGCAGTGGTTAGCACTGTTGCCTCGCAGCATGAAGGTTGCAGGTTCGAAACTCTGCTGCGGCCTTTCTGCGGGCAGTTGCGTGTTCTCCCCATGCATGCGTGGGTTTCCTCCGGGTACTCCGGTTTCCCCCACAGATCACAACATGCCCTACAGGTTATAAATTGTAAGTCGCTTTGGATAAAAGTGTCTGCTCAATAAATAAACATAAACATAAACATAAGTTACGACCAAGAGGCTTACAGAGACGATCGTTCTGAGACATGAGACTGTGTGTTTTTGGGTGAACATTCCTGCAGGTGTGTGTAAAACAGCTTATTGTTTAATTAAAATTGAATAAAATATATTTGACCTGAAATAAATTGTAATGCTTGACTCCCACCTTGACTGTAGTGGTACAGCAATTACTTCGTGATTTCAGTCCAGTTTGGGTCCCAGCCAGATTCTCAGTGTTCACTTTTTTCTTTCCTCTCACCGCTTCGCTGCTGCTCTCTCCCTCACCATGCTCACTTATGCATGCTGCTCCCTGCTCTGCCTCTCCCCTTGTCTCTCCTTCACTCACCTCCTCCACTTCAGCCTGTGTACTTTTCTAATATATTAGCGACATGATTTGTTTGAATCACCAATATAAACGTTGGGAATATTACACATATCACCAGAGGTTAATTTGAGCCCATTCTTGCTGGAACACGTGTATATATATATATATATATATATATATATATATATATATATATATATATATATATATAAAGCTCCTTTAGAATTTTTTATTTCATTGTTTATCTTTTATATTGTATTTTTGACATTTATATTGGCCTCACTCAACAGAACAGGGAACACGATGCGGGTCGGTGCTGAAGGATCGCTGTGACACCGCTTGACTTTAATGATGAACAGATACTTTGTTTATTTTGATGGGTAATGTAAACAAAAACATGAAACAAACGACATTGAAGGCTGCCAGTTAAAACATATTTTATGTAATTATAAAGAACTTTTATAAAGGAGCGCTTCCTGGACTCAACAGAAGTTGGTGTGAGGTTCTCTTTAGATGGGAAGATTCAGTCGAAAAAACAAGACACACTCCAAGGCACTTTCAAATAGAAAACGTTCTAAAGCCTTTATTGTAATGGCTAGGTCATAAACGCGTTTCGGCGAATGTAGCCTTCGTCAGGGAGATGAACAGTTCTCAGCAGTAAGGAGAA